TGGAATATTTATAATGTTGTTGTTTGATAATATGCATGACTTAAATAAATACATGTAAATATTAACAAAAAAATATTATTATTGTCGCTTGTATTTTACAACTAACATAAAAAACGAGCAGTAGTCTGGGAAGAATTTAAAGTAAGCCATCACACAGTAGAGAACGCTATTTGAACAAAGCTTTCATTTTATCAGATTAAATTGGTACAAAATGTGTTTATGGGATTGACATTTAAGCAGGAAATGACAGACATAACAAAATTACCCAACTCGTATAAAGGTTTTTCCCAGAATACTATGTGTTGGCGGGTCTGAGAGACAGACAACTTCCATTTGCTAGATTTGATGTCTGAGTCAGTATGTTTTTAGATGCACAGGTCTTGGTCAATGCCTGATGACCAATTACTTATAGGTTTGGCAGTATCAAATTGTGTCCCTTTCACCACAAGACAAATTATTCTGAGGAAAGTTAAAAGCATGTACATAAAACATAAATCAGTGTAAATTGGAAAGCTGTTCTGAAAACATGTCTAAACCAAGCCCAGTATAAACTGGATGCATGTCTGAACCAAATCCTGCATAAATCAGAAAGAAAACCATATCAAATCACTATTTTCTAGTTTCTTTACCATACACTCTCTGTAAACAAAACAATTTTCACTCGACATTTTTTACATACACCAAATTTTCAATTCGGTTAATACATGTACCGGTACTCTTAGACTGTTAAAGTTATAACGTTAAACGGGAAGTAGTGAGCGGGAAGTAGTGAGCGGGAAGTAGTGAATCCGATTCTCGTCCTTTGTGTGACATTAACGCATGCACGAGTGATGAACAACACTGACACAAATGGAGCAGAACAATGTTTGGTTGAGTCACTCTACACAAAATACCTTTCCTTCTATGAAGTTTTTTTTATTCACCGCAAAAAACACCTGTGCAAGAAGAACTACAATAGTTCCTCAAAATTGAAATAACATCCATGTACCGTATCTGCTCTATTAAAAGCACATCTCAAATAAAAGCATATATAAAACAAAAATCACATTTGTTTATTTAAATTTTACTTGTTGGACTATAATACTGTAATTTACACAAGTGTAAACACTACTGATGGAACAAATATGTTGTCTTTATTTTCATGGTGTAACCATCACAGTAATATATTCCATCAAAAAAAAAAAAAGCCGAATTCCGCAGTTGACAAGCTATTGTGTTTGTGCCACTCTTGATTACATGTTTGGGACAGAATGAGATAATATTTCACAGGCAGCCCAGTTATTTGTAAGACAGTTTTGCTGACATTTTCCACATTAAATTTAATTATATATTTCAAAGACTGTAAGAAATGTTCTGGAACATTCAGCGTACCATATTTGCTCTATTAGAATTGCATATATACCATAGACTGAAAAAACAACCATGTAATTTACATCAGCGCATGCGTTACTGATAAAGAAAATATAGTATATGGAATTTTTACAGTGTGTGAGATGTAAAAAAAAAATGAGGTTTCAAGGTAAACTGGGAACGAACAATTTAAATTACCATTACAGCAATATCTGAAAATTTAAAAACTGGTTAACTGACTTGTCTAACAACACATGTGTTATCTATGTGGTTTATGCTATTGTTCAGTCAAACTAACATTCTATAAAATTAACCATAACAGATGGAGAAGAGTTCTTTAACTAACTAACAGTGATTTAGAACAACTCTGACTCTTGGCTTGTCCCTGCATGTTAAAATGGACTGTAGATTTATAACACACAGATGGTCAGAGTGAAAAAAACACACACACTGGAATTCAAAGTAATATCACACCCCTGAAGAACATGGGTCAAATGTGGACAAAGAATGCTTTGCTACAATATTTACACAGTACATGTAGTTGTAATACAATGTTTGATATATGGCTTCCATACAGCAACATAAGCATAAAATAAATTGTTTATTTATACAAAATTTTAAGTGCTGACATCTGCAAACAAGATACATGTGACCCAAGGTCCATGATTACACTAAAGGGAATGTCTGGACAATAATTTACCCTAAACGTATACATATTTAATATTTAATAAAGCAAAGATACTGTATCAGACTTATCTGATAATATCCCTTTTACAAAATTGAACACCATGCCAATTACCGGTATACTTCATACATTGAATTTGAACTTTAAAGGTAAGGTCATACACCAGTATGTGAAACAATGACGGTCTGAATTTGTGCGAATTACAGGACGTGTGACCTAAAAATTACTTTCAGTGCATCCGAACATTACTGGTTGTTTACGGCTTCAAGTTCAGAGACTGACAGTTAGCAATATCTAATAGGTAATAATCTATTTAGAGTACAGAATAGAATAAGCTTGTGATGCAAAACTGTAGAACAGGTGGTCAAGGCGGAGATAACACTTAGGTAACTCCTTGGACGAATAAAAATTCATACAGAGGAGAACCCCTCGTAAATTTACCCCATGTGTACAGTGTATGTAGTCATGGTTACATGGTTCTGGGGGCACAATAAACAATATTAGTGTAAACAAATGAATGTCTCCTTTACTTATTCAAGAGCTGTACTTCAGAGAGTACAAGTGACGGAGCATCTAGATCTGTAACCTTTTGAATCTTTGCCAAACAAGAAATAATACACACTTTTCTAATGTGTAGTCCAAGGCTTATTCAGAAAAAAAATCTATGAGTTTCAAAGCACTAACATTTTTATAATGAAATCTATATTAGTAATAATAAAATAAATTGTATGATAAAAATAAATAAATAAAAACATATTTTAAAAAATGTGAACAAAAAATAAAGTCCAAGCTAGAATCATAATCAGATTTCTCTCCCTCCATGATATTGTAGATATTACACATTATGTTATACTTCAAAATCAGCACCACAGTTCCTTTTCATTCAGTTGCAGGAATAAATATTAAAGGTAGATAAAATGAAAAAGGAAGGCAACTACGGTGTTATGTTCTAACAATCACACCAATCACAACTTGAAATACTCAATCACGAAATGACATTTCTAAAAATAATCCACACGAGCGAATGAGTTTTTGAAAGTGCGTCTCAGGTTGTTTTTTATACTGTCCTTATGTATTTGTACTTTATCCTTTTTGCCTTCTTTAATAAAATCTTCTGTCTCGCTTATTTCATGAACCTTTCTATCATTATATACTAAAAAGCATTTGTCTGAACAATTTCAATTGATATGCTAGTGGAACTCGCACAGAAATATAAACTTCACGTCATCGCAAACTATCGCAAAACAGATTCCCATCGGATGATTTCATTGGGATATTTTCATCACATGTATGATTACTGTATACAAGTTTTTATCTTTATTCGAGTACAGGTTGAATACCAAAGCAGAAGAAAAGCTTTGTACAACAAATGTTGAATTATCACTATTTAACATGGGAAGCAGAGAGACACAAACTAATAGCTGTCCACTTAAAAATATGTGACAAATGTATAAATTCAAATGGAAGATGGACATTACTTTACCATTATTATTCATACATGTACAAAGAACATAAAGCGCACCTAACAAACCTGTTAAAAGTGTTGTAACCAGTAGTGACAGCTAGAATTTTTAATCTATTACATGCAGTAGACATATGTCATGGCCTTTAGCTAAAATAGAGATCAGTTCACAAAATAGCGACACCACATTACATAAAATATTAAAAGGAATATTTAAATTTGAATGACTTTTGTAGCATAGTGTTTCAGTGCCTATTCGTAACAGCATTTGGGTAATGTAAAACTAGAACTATTGTAAATAGAACATTGCTCAGCATTCAAAACAGACTAAATCTGGAAAAAAATATGCATACACGATAAATATAATTTTAAATATGTTACTGCACATTCTTTTGAGTGATTTGTTATGAATTCCAATCAAAGTTACTGACTGAACTTTTTTAATGTCCCAACTATATTAACCTTTTCACAAACAGACTTTCTTGTCAAATTGTTCTGACCTTTTTTTCTTATATTTCCCTAATATTGCTGGTAATAAAGCCTAACTGATGAACATTTGAGTCAAGTTTTATTTTTTTTCAGTCAGTATTTTTGTCCCAATCTTCTGAGGGAAAGTGCAGACTATGAAT